ACAACATTTACAAAAGTTTTAGAAAAATAATCAAAATTCAAGTTCTATTTTTAATTGATACGACTATAGTATCTTTTTTTTTATTGTCTATAATTTTCTTTTCATCTTTTCTTCCATCATATTGTTTTATAATTTTATTAGAACTTTTCATGTATACATTAGTGTATTGTTCTTTTTCACTGAGTAACTTTCATTTTTTTCGTCTTGGAGTATTGCATCTCAATGTCAAATAATTGCATGGTTATTTTTTTATGTCGTTTTCGTATTCATGAACTTGATATTCTTATTATGTAAACATATGCGCATTTAATTCATGTAGTAATTAAACTTATCTTCAACTGTTTATGAAACATGTGAAATTAATGAACTAAAATATTAATTTGCCTTTTTTGTTTTACAATATGAGAAAACCATAAAAAGATGGTAAGGAACATGGAAAGAAAAAAACCTACTTTTAGATGAGTGATGAAGAAGTGGAAATGGTACTAAGTCGAAAGTCTCGATTCAGTCGCTATCGTACACGAGTTCGAAAGAAAATCAATCTCGATATAAATGAAGCAATGCAAATCGATGATAGCAACATTACATCGTATGCACTTTTCTGTTTTATTTCTTTTGTGTATCGCTTTGAATTATTAGAATGAATGATATATCTGATTCCGAAGAACCAAATACTGTATTCATTGATAAAATACCAATAGTAACGCACGATGTATGTACTCAAACTTTAGATTCGTTGTCTAATCCAGAAATTAAACAACATATCATTGAAAATAGTCATGGTAACTATATAAATCAATTAGAAGGTAGTAGTAGTATATTTCAACTTCTAAATGATTATAATAATAAATTTAAAGATAATGATTTGCATTAGTTTTCTGATGATGGTACAGATTCTATTGATACGAATGACGATGCGGAAGAAATATATGAAGCTCAGTGCAACGTATTCGATAATGATTTTGAAACTCAACAACCACCAAATGCTACTGAACTTTCAGTAATGTTACTTTTTGTTTGGAGAAAGCATTCTATGAGTAAAGCTG